GTGTGTGTGTGTGTGTGTGTGTGTGTGTGTGCGTGTGTGTGTGTGTGTGTGTGTGTGTGTGTGTGTGATCTCTTCCCACAGACTCTTTGTTTGTATATCATCCAACATGGGTCAGTGCAGCTGTTTTTTTTTTGTTTTTTTTAGTTAGGGTGGGAGCGGGACTGTCCGCTAGACGTGTGTGTGTGGTAAAGGAGCAGAGTAAAGCCACAAAGATACAAAGGACCAATTTTTGTTTTTCATTTTCCAGGTCTTACTCCCTGCCTCTATGCCTATTTTCGCAGTCAAGCTCTGCAACCAATCCCTCGAGACATTTTTTTAAGGCCAGAGGTTAGTTTTTGCATCGTGGCCACCCATCTTTAAACATGCAGTCGCTGTAAAACAAGGTTCTTTAAATAAATGCATCTGCTAATGAGCATTTGATGTTTGGACAGGAGCTTCATGTCACCACACGACAAAGTTCAAACCCCAGGCATTCCCGCTGCCAGAGATGACACACCGTCTGCCAGCCTGTACAGTTTTCTCACAGCTAAGCCATTTGTCTGGGCTATATTTAACAATTATTAGATCAGGTCATGCTGTACATCAGCTAATGCTGCCAGGGTTCAAGGTTACTAATATTGCTGTGAAATTTAACTTGGGAAAAGAGACAAAACATGACCTAACTTATTGAAAGCCAAGAAGCTTTCCAACACAACCTGTCCTACTAAAATATCACCACTGAGGACAATATGCATATTTTAACACTATACAAGAAGCACACTCGCTAACATCTTGTAATGTTATGTTTAAAGAAAACACGTTTTATTCTGAACTTCTATGTATGTACTGTCCGCACAGTCTTTAGTATTTTGTAATAAATGGTGTGGACTCATCCAATTAGTGCAGACTATATGCAGAAATGCATGTATACTATAAAATAAAATAACGTCTAGTTTTCTTATAACAAACTGGTAACATATTTGCTTGGATGTTAGCATAGTCTTTATGTCTGCATATGCAAATTGCCTGACAATCAAATGTCTTCTTTACCAAACTTAAGTGTGTCACTAGAAAACAGTAAATACTGCTGTGATTAATTTAGATGTCATCAAGCTCAATAACTAATGGTTTTCATTGCAAAAGGCACATTTTTTGACCGGGAAAATATGTTAATAGAAGAGTGAAATTATTATTCTGCTAGAAGTAAAAATAATAATAATAATAAAAATAAGGATTGCTGCATCAACTAAAAACGACCCAAAACCTAGAATAATGGTGCTGAATCCTAAAATGTATAAGCACTTTGTGAAATAAACATATTTAAATTTATAATAAGATTTTATTAAAGCAAGAGAATGTCCAGATGCACAATGCAAAGATAACTGAGGGGAATTGAGTTAATGCATTGCAAGGTCTTGAATGAGACATTTCATGCTTTAAATCTTTCCTTTTCACATTTAAATCATTCAGTCGAGGTTTATATAAAGTAGAACTGCAATGCTTTGGTCTGAATTCCTTCTTATTGTAACTCCACAAGCCCCTCTTTTACACCTGTTCTGAGGTGCATCTGAGAGCCACTCGTTTTGGTCTCTAAATGTAAATTAGGCACTTCACAACTGGCCCCGCTCCACCCGTTTGGACATTTCTATAGTTTGATAGCAGAGATATGGTTTATTTAGCGGCACATAAATTTGTATTTACTAATTAATTAAAAGATGTCATCAACAGAAGACTTGTCCATCCAGCAGTCTTACTTCTTGGAGACAGAGTCTGACCCAAAGCAAGAGTGGAATGAAAACTACAGGAATAGAGAAAATCGAACAGATTGAAAATAATGACCCAAACAGAATATAAAGATACACAGCACCCGGAGAGACTAAAACTAAACTTTTCTGCACTCCTCGAAATGCCGAGTACACAGCAAAATGTGTTTAAGGACTAAAAAAGTGAATTTTGCACGATATGTCCCCCCTGAAGAAAACCAAAAATTGACAGAATAACAGAAAAATGTGTTAAATGTGTTGAGCTCTAATTTTATCCCTCCATCCATTCATCCATCCATCCATCCATCCATCCATCCATCCATCCATCCATTTTTCCTTTCTGTCTTGCGGGGAGCTGGTGCTTAGCTCCAGTAGTCACTGTATGAGAGGTTGTGTACATCCTGGACAGGTTGCAAGTCCATCACGGGGACTGCCAAAAAACATCATTTCACTAAAGGTCTTATGTATAATCAGAGTTCTCTATTTTTTTTCTTCTCATCAACAAATTAAACCAGCACGCTGGAATGAGGAAAACCCCAAATTTATAGCAAAGACTTCCCACTTGTGAAAAACAGAGGAGGTAGTATCATGATTTGGTAACATGTTCTCATGTCGGACTCATAACATATTGACGCTCGGGCACGCGTCCATCCTTGCCGCCCGCGGCTTTTCCGGGTTGCGTCACAAGATTAATGGTTAACTTTAGGGTCTGTGGTTAATATGAGGGATCAGGATTAATGGTTAACTTTAGGGTCTGTGGTTAACATGAGGGATCAAGATTAATGGTTAACTTTAGGGTCTGTGGTTAATATGAGGGATCAGGATTAATGGTTAACTTTAGGGTCTCTGGTCAGGGATAATGGTTAATTTGAGATACTGGGGTCAGGGATAGGTTGTACATAGCTAATATACACTCACCGGCCACTTTATTAGGTACACCTGTCCAACTGCTTGTTAACACTTAATTTCTAATCAGCCAATCACATGGCGGCAACTCAGTGCATTTTGGCATGTAGACATGGTCAAGAC